TTATAGCGAGTTTAAATATGCTGTCCTCGAATGAGGTGTCTTTGACATGCTGATTCATGTAACTCTTTGTCCATGGAAGGCAGTTCTTATCGACCCAATGCCTGCGGGGTTAGTGGCTTGTTCTTCGATGAATGATTGATTTTATTCAAAGCGAGACATACCAGTTGTTAGGATTATGCACAACCATTAGTTATCTATTTTTCTAAAAATCTATGATCATGAGTCGTAAGCCCTTGCGTAATTGAGCGCTCCAATCTATACCCAGTAAGCAAAGCCCGCAGAATTCGGTGGAACCTTCGCGCGTCGCGATTGAAGGCAGGCGTGAACTTGAAAGGATAAGTCGATCATCAAAATATGGCACGCTTTAATAATCCGACCAAGTGTAGGGACTCTTCTTTCGGAACGCCGCTCCGTATTTGTATAGTAAGAATGGGATTGGTATCAACACACAACCAAATAAAGCAAGGAGTGTGGTAGCCCACTGAATGCCCATAGCTTCGTACATGCGAAGACCGAACAACGGGAACACGCCAGACATAAGAGAGCGAACAAAGGAGTTAGTCGCCATTGCAGAGGCAGTGTACTTTCGGTAAGCCTCCACAGTGTATGCGAATATTCCATTGAAAACGAGTATAGTGCCCACGCCGTAAACGAAGGATCCACTAATTGGCCCCATCCAATGTAAGTCGGGGTAGGATGTCCAAGCAATGATGAAGAGTCCAATTGGCGCAATGAACACGCCAATCATGACAGGTAAGAATCTGTGCTCTGTAACATGCTTCCCATCGTTCTGAGCAATGAGTCTGTTGTGCCACTTGTTTATGAGGTACGGGCTCAACAATGCAGTGAGAGATAAGCCCAAAATGAGTCCTAAAAAGCCAAGACCTTGACTTTGCACGTCGAAGCCATACACTGTCTTCAAAATGTAAGGAAATGATACGAAGAACATGTAAATGATAGCCAAGATGAAACCGGAGTAAAAGCATAGAGCTAGTGTCATATAGTCTTTGAACATAAGCATAAGAGGCCTTTTTGAAGACACTAAAATACTCTCATATAAAGATGCCCGATGAACTTCTATAGGAGCAAAGTAGCGCTCGTCACCGGTGGTCTTCCTCATTCGCTTGGCTTTCCTCCTCAAAAGTATGGGCTCGTATGTTTCCGGTACAAATAGAAGTACGAGTAGTGTCATCAACCCTGACCACACACACATTATCTTGAACTGCCATCGGTAGTTGATATGCTGGCACACTAGACCAGAAATTATCGGGCCTAAGCCAGGACCAATAAAAGGAGAGACAGAGTACAAGATCAAAGCTTTATGCAACTCCTCATCCTGGTCATGCTTCAAGTGTGCTGTTCTTTTTGTTTTTTTGAACAAGTCGGAAAACGTGCCACTGGCGACCGACATGAACGAGGAGGCAAAAAAGCCTGCAAAGGCCCGCGAGAAGAGAACGGCACCAAAATTAGAGCTGAAGGCCGGAACGAACTGAAATGCAAACACAATGAATAAGCCAGATACGTAAACAACTTTTCTCCCATGAAATTCTGAAATCGGCGAGAGGAAGATGCCACCAGTTCCAAGACACCAGATGTATAGTGATATACCCAATGTCGACACTTCGTGGCTTACTCCGAAGTCAGCCATGATGTATGTCGAGGCCAAAGACCATACTGATGAGATCGAAGTTATGCACACGGAGGTCATAGAGACCAAGATTACAACGAGCCATTTATGCGTGTGACTCAAGCGTAGCGCATCTTCAGGATCCTCGAGTGTTTCGAACGACACCTCAAATTCAGGATCTTTGGTCACCGTTGCCGATATGTCCTCAAGGTCACTCATGAGATTTATTTTGACGTGATTTAATCAGTGATTGTAGTAAAGATGATTAAATCTGAAGCAAAGAGTAAGTGGGGCGAGGCAAAACATTGTGCAGACGGGCAATCACTCAAAGAAGCCTGCAGCCTTTCTCCTAACATGCGAGTCCTTGAAAATACCCGAATGGACTACCTTTCACGCAAATTTATGTTTGGGCCTTTTGATGAGTGTTATACTCCAACAGATATAGCGCAGCCGCAACATGCTGGAACATGCGCAAGATGTGCCAAACTTGTTCCATGCATGTGCACCCCGCCGGACGTGTCTCCATCCCGTTCGTGTCGCGACCGCCACATTTACCCGCGTGTGCCCTGTCACCAACAGGCATCGGCAAAACATCCACCTGAACCCCAATCACATGGCTAGCAATATCGAGCTACAAGATTTGCGCAACAAACCATTTCTTGACGTCGAAGAGACTACAAAATTTCACAGGCCAAAGCGGGCTTATGTCTACGTGATATTGGAACTTGTCATTGGCCTTGAAATCCTATACTCATACGAACAAGTTGCAGAGAGTTTTCCGCTTTTGGCCCCCACAATCTTGGGCGCAGCATCGGCAGCATTGGCCCAGTCACTTATTCAGTTTTTTCGCCAAAAGGTATCCACGAACAGACTATTGAAGTTCATTGTCTGGGGTTGCATCAATGGTTGTTTCACCGCGCTTTGGATCAACGTTTTAGTGACCCACGTTGACAATGTCGCATATCAGATTCTCATAGATCAAACAATAGGTGGTCCGTTGTTCCAGCTAATGTATACCATTCTAACCAGTATATGGGAAAACGATAGCATTGTTAGCCTGGCGTCACGGTCTACATTTATGAAGTCTTTACGTTATAGTTACTGTTATTGGCCTTTCATCTCCACGTCCATGTTCATCCTTGTGCCACCGCAGTTGATGTTCTTTCTCAATTGCCTCGCGAGCTTTGTCTGGAATCTCGTTCTAAGCAGGTTGAATTAGCATTTTCCATACAATTCTTAATTTCTCAATAGTATACACATGTTTATCTACAGCCTTGCCGTCACAATAAGAGCTGAAAAGTAAGGCGACGAGCTCAAGCTTTGTAAGCAGCCTTGAGAGGGTCAGCCTTTTTCCCAGCCTTCTTTTTCTTCTTGTAAACTTTGTTCTTTTTAAAAGGAACAAATCCCAAATCCTTCTTGACTCCGTTTCTGGCGCTAGCTGGTAGCAAATATTCTGGCACCCTCTTCAATTGTTGCTGGACACGCTTTGGATAAACCGCTTTGTCATGCCTCAAGGATGCCAAGTCTTGAGGGTTTTCCTCGAAAAATCTCTTTAGCCTGTCACTGTTAATCAACTCTTTTTTCAACTCCAGAATTCTTGCTTCTCTGATAATCACGGATGTCACGGCTTTGAATGCATCCTCTGCTCTGTAACGGAAACCCTCGACCTGTTTCATGTCAAATTGATAAGGCTTGATTTCGAAACCATTCTTTGCTTGTTGCTTTTCCACTCTTCTCAACACCTTTTCATCTTTCTTGGACGTCCCGACGCCCGCAACTCTATGCTTGCCCACTTCATTTTCTGGTACGATGAAAGACAACGCCATTCCTGCCTTCCCGGCTCTCGCAGTTCTTCCGATCCGATGAGTGTAAGCACGAGAAGTTGTGGGCATATCGAAGTTGAGAACACACGCAACATTCTTGAAATCGACACCTCTAGAGACTCCATATTCCTTGTCTTTGGGAGCCTTCTGATTCTTCTTGCTCTTTTTTGACTCTGGATCCGCATTGGGACCCACTTCCAGATCCTTAGCAACACTCGCCTCCACTTTGGAGTCTCCAGCCTCACTGGCCTTCTCATCATCAGCCTCCTCGTCTCTCTCAATTGTGAAGTCATTGGTCTCGTCTGTGGCAATGAGCAAGTTGTAAACGTTCTTGTTGAATTCATCAACAATGTGAATTCTCAGGTTGATGGGCAACTCGCTGTTCAATATACAGCAACGAATTCCAAATTGCTCCAAGAACAATTTCAATCTATACCCGCGGTCGATGGTATTGACAAAGACCAAAGACTTACCTTGTATCAATCCCAACTTGAAAATGACATACGCTAATAAAAATTTGTCGAACTCGGTCGTACGAGCGTAAAATTGGACCAATTTTGACCTTGACAAATTCTCCTCATTCAATTTCAAGACTGCTGGTCTAGAGCAAAAGCGCTTCTTCAACTCTTCCAAATCATCATTGACGGTGGCGGACATCAAAAATGTCTGTAAATTGGTTTTGACCGGCAAGAATGTCTCAAGCTGTTGTAAATCTTCCATATAGCCATAAGACAACACCAAATCAACCTCATCAATCACCAAGCTTTTGACTTTGCTCAAACTTATCAAATTGCTGCGGACATTCAGTTGCAAGATCTGGATCAATTTGGAGGGAGTGGAGATAACTATATCTGGGCTAGCCGTCAACAACGTTTTGAGGACAGAATCCGAGACACTCGAAGATAAGTTGACGGAAGTGACTTTATGATTGCAGTAAACCAAGAGTTTTTCGACGAACTGAGTGACCTGATTGGAGAGTTCTTTTGTCGGCACCAAGATGATCGACTTTACACATTTCCCTTCTTCCTCAGAGGTCAAGATGCTTTGCAAAATAGGTACACAATAAGCAGCAGTTTTTCCCGAGCCAGTGCTAGACTTAGCTATAATATCGCGTTTCTCCTCCAATGCGAGGGGCAACGCGCTAGACTGGATCAACGTAGGATTCTTAAAGCCCAAATGGTCAACAGCTTGCAAGATCCGGGCATCGAGCCCAAAAGAGTCCCACAGCGAAGAATCATCAACGTAGGCAGCGGCAGCAGACTTTTCCATGGTGGTTCTATGTGCTTTTGAAGGTGATGCCTCAGTAACGGCTCCAAGGAAAATTGAGAGATGCTCATCAGGTCCCATATACAGGAGGCGCTCTCGTAGTTGGCATTGACATCCCTGGATTATTTATCAAACGAAAATATGCTGGCAATATCAAAGGGAAAGCTGTAACTAACAAATTCAACTTCATTGATTCGAAAAGATTGGGCAATTGAAACCGAGAAAGCTTGGGATTACAAATAAACATATATATTGTTTATTAAATTCAAATCGAAACATAAATTGGGCGTGTGGCGTAGTTGGTAGCGCGTCTGCTTTGCATGCTGAAGGTCATCGGTTCGATTCCGGTCTCGTCCAAGTTTCTTTTTTTCTTTTCATTCTTCAATCTGGTCACGACGTACTCATTGATTTTCTGAGCGTCTCCCCTTGGAACATCGTAAACCGAAGCAAATGGGCTGATGCAAAACTATCCAACTCGCTTGGACGCAGTCTATAACTATCCAGAATTCCTTGTTGATGTCATCTCATGATATTCAGGTTGTTTTAGACAATTCGAACATCATACCGGTAACAATATCACCAACCAAACTAGAGATACGTAGTGTGAAATGATCCGTTTTTTTTTTTTTGACGATACGTACTGACAGGAGTGCCGCGTGGCTGCCTAGCAACGCTCTCTCCATTATCAAGGCCAACATGGTTCGCCCCACACGAATAACAGAGAGGCATACTCCATTGTCTGTTTCCACATTTATAATGATGGCGTGCCCAACTAGTAGATCAAAAAGCCACTGGTTTGATTCATGTTCTAAACAATGAGATCTGACTCAAAACCTGATACAAGGGATACCTAGAGTTGAATTGACACACAAGAAAAATCCGGAACGTTCTGGGTTTTCGGTTATTATGAATTAGACTTTAGCACTATGATACATTATACATGGTCGGCGGGATCATATGCTTTTACGTCAAATGAGGAGGTGCCCTCATTGCTCAATGGCTCACTATGCTCCACAACGGCCTCCGGAGGAACGCCCGACGGAGCCGCGCTGGATCGACGTGGCCTTAGTCGAGGACCACCATTGCTAGCATTTCGAGAGAAGTAGCTGTTGCCTTCAGCAACATTGGGTGGTGTGCGAGCTAACAGGTATCTGCGGAGAGAACTGATATGGCTCGAATTGCCATCTCGGGGTTTGTTTTGAGCTTCAATGTCTCGTTTACTTTGTGTCCGACTGAGTGTACGCAAAAGTTGTTCCCCCATGAATGTTGCACTTGTTCTGTGTCCAGTGATGTCAGAATCTGGGACGACAGGTTCGTCCTTGTGCAAGTCGCCCGTGACACCCGAAGCAATGGATCTTTCCCTTTCCCCGGGTGAACCCATTCCATACACAGGGAAAACGTTCGACGGGGACCGTCTGACGGTGAATCTCTTTTGACTCACGAGGCTTGGAGACTGCAAGGAGCTGTCATCCAGTCTGTCCCTGTTTTCATCGAGATGTTTTTCGACAACATCAACACTGCCCATTTCACTTTGTCCTTCGCTTTCCTCTGCCTCATCCTCTTCTCGAGCGCGGACAACTCTCGAGTCCTGGTTGATCTCTGGCTGCTGATCTCTCATGTCATACCTAGGCAAGTTCAACTTCTTTTGGTCCCTCTCCACGGCCACAATATGCAAGTAAAATGGCACCACAAGAGAAAAGAAAGATCCTCCTATAATGTTTCCAAGGGCCCCCGGTAGAAAAAGTTTCCAAGCAACAGTTGCCACAGTAGTATTTGCACCATTTATTAAACCAATGATTATCATGAACATATCTGCAACGGAGTGAGTAAAGCCTAAAGAGACAAATGTGAAAATCGGTAGCATCATCATGAAGAATTTCACGTGAATAGGCTTTGCCATTAGTTGCAAATAGATGGCGAGACAAACAAAAAAGTTACCGGCTATGGCCTTTAGTAGTGTCTGAACAAAAGTTGATTCAAGCTTCTGATCGAGAATGTCAACAGAACCTTTTATCCAAGCAGCCAGGGATGAGATGGACGAGAAATGACATATGATGTAGCAAACGAATATGTTTCCGACTAAGTTGAACCACCAACTAACGATCCATGATATTAAAAGATCAAGTATTGAAACCGCACCACGTGCGACGCCCACGGAAAAGAACAATATATTCGAGTTGAACAAGTCCACACCCATTATAACAACGTAAAACAATCCAATAGGGTATAGAAGACCTTGCAATAAATGGACAATTCCTGGATTTTCTTGAAGAATCTGGGGGCACTCAGACTGTGTCATGACATGAAGCATTCCGCCTGATGTGAAAAGCATACCTCCAATAATGGAGTTGACCACTAAAACATCTAACAGTAAACGCGCTTTTTTCATTGAAGTAGCGACAACTGCAAGTGCGCACTCATAAGTCGTCAAATAAAGCCCGTCGCCATTCATGCTGTTAGACTAAAAAGAGGTCCATTCAGGCGTGATTTGAGGAGATATGAGGCTAAGTTTCGTCTAACCCTGAGATGGCGTCGCAAGGTCGCAGCGCGCTACTTCGTTTGATGCACCGATGAGATGTGCAGTATGCTCACGCATATCGTACCCCGGAAAAGAAATATATCGCGCGGATCATGAACCATCAATTTGGTGTAAATAAAATGGAGTTCGTGAAATCAAAATCCGTATTGATCGGTTCGGGTGCTTCGGATGACTCGCCATTGTTTCCGTCCTCACTTGAGCAATTCTGCAGACTCACTTCGAGATGGCCGCCGCCACTTACTTCTTTCAAGTCTGGGAGGTCGTCGGTACGCTCAGCCGCCTGATTTTCATCTTTTGCCGAGCTCTTCTGATTTCGTGATTTGAGTGCTTGACGCCTCAAATGCTTAAACTCTTTCTTGTACAATTTGACCCAGGCCTTGGCAGGAAAATCCTTGTCCGAGATGCATTTTCGACTGAGCGAGTCCCCATAAATTGTGTTGGAGGCTGCTGATGAAACAGCAGCCAGGTGAGATATTTCCCACTGCTTTAGCTTCTGTCGAAGCTCCAATTCTGACTGTGGGTGGTTGGAGTCTAAGTTGGACTGATGAAGTAAGTAATACAGATTGTACCTCCATTCCAATTCAGCCCGAGAACCTATCGTGGGTAGCTTGAGAGACAGCAATTTTTCCTTCACTTTAGCCGTAGAAAGAGAAGAGAAATCGACCTTTGGGATTTTTTTGGTGTCATGGTGGTGTTTATTACCTTGATTAAAGTAGAAACTCTCATGATCGATATCGCTTACTGCCTTTCTTTGACGCTTTTGGCCTTGAAAAAACAGCGTCACGTCCTTAGCTTTGCGCTTCTGCATGGGTGCCATTTTTTCAAGCTTAGGGTCGGGCTTGCCATTGAGACAATAATCTAGATGGCTCCCTTGTACATGCTCCTCCTTCATGACCTCATCGCATACAGGGCAATGCACGTATCCCGACTTTAGTTTATCTGCTTTAGAGGCCGTGCTCAGACCCTCGTCGGAAACTTCTATAACTTCGACATCAGCAGGAACTATTGCCAGACTTGGCTTCTCTTTCGGTGAATTTTCACTGACAGAAGCTTCTTGTGGCGTCACAAGAGCAATGAGGTCATCCCTGAGAGCTTGGTAACATAACACAATTTCTTCCAACAAGATGACACGCTTCAAGTTACTCTCAAACTGCTCGGCTTTGCAAAGCGGACATCTACTGACGCTCATCAAATGCTGCCTTATACACTGCGAGCAGAACGTGTGATTGCAAGACGTGATCACTGGGGCCTTTAGAAAATCTTTACAGATTAAGCATCGCTGGAGAGAATCTAGCTGAGAAAGCTTGGGTATGCGTGTCCTTTTCCAGTCAGAAGGCTCAAACTCAGGCATAACTAGGGGTATTCGTCTTCGGAATTTAACTTGAAAGAGCAGAGACTTGATAAGAGTCAAGAGCTGCGCACGCGCGTGCCGCTATCTTTGCGTGCTGCGAAATTTCGCCTCCCAGTCTTTAGTTTCGCGCCCAAGCAACCGATGTGGTGGCCGCAAATATGCACCATACTTGACCATCTAACAGCTGCTTGATCATACTGACATGTCTTTATATGACTATTTAAATGGGTTTTTTTTTATTTTTATGAAGCTTGGTCCCGATATATCCTTAAATGTACAGTCAGCTCGGCGCATGATCACATCGCGATCAAGCACTACAACTCATCGTGATATGCATGTGTGTGTTTCTGCGAGTCGACGTCATAGTGAGCAGTGGTAATTACGTCGCTTTCACTCGAAGGGTGAGAAAGTTCCGAAAACGATTCCTGTGAGCCACGAACATCGACGCTAAGACTTTCGTCCGATGATGGAAGTGATGGTAATTCTGCATGTCTGTCGCGGACAACTTCCTGAATGAGGGTAACATCATCTTTCATGAGCTCAGGGACATGTGGAGCCTTGGCAATGTCACCTTTGGGCTCTGAGACATGACTCGCAACAGCTGCATCTACGATTGCTTGCGAAGATGCCAGCCCAAGAGCTGAATCAGCTGCGTCGAGAAATGTTTGCGATTCGGGCTGCGGATAGCTCTCACTAGTTTCAGTTCGAACAGTGGGCTGATTCGCTGATTCATCGATTGTCCCGAATTGAGCAGTCAGAAGATGAACTTCATCGCTTGTTGTGCTGGTAATGGACACATGCGTTGAATCTGCATTCAATGTTGAAGCAGTTAACCTTTCCGCATTGTGCGAGACAGCATCCTCATCACTAGGTTTTGGCTCTGGCTTGGATTCTTCCAAATTGTTTTTCTGCGATTCGGGATCAATTTTGTCACTCGAATCGGCCGCGATAGTATCTGCTTGATCAACACCATCAATGATATGGCTCTCCACGTCGTATTTGATTTCCTCGACACTATTTGAAGAGTCAGATAAGTCATCCATCTTCTGAGGCAAGGGCGCGGCTTCGCTACTTGAGACGCTTCTGCGTGGGGCGCTCGATGATTTTTTGGTCTCGAGTTCATCAACCTCTGGCTGGATGCCATCAAATAACCCCTGTGGATCGCCATCGGCAGTGTCCTTGATATTCTGAGTTACATGAGCATCTGTTTCGTCATTCAGTTTCGACGAGGCAGATACGGTGAGCTCTGGAACCAATGTGGCATCTTCGCCAGACATCGTCGGTTGTGCATATGGTTTCTTTACTGATGAATGAGTGTCTGAGCTTTCTTTCAAGGGCGGGACATTCGCGTCCAAGTCATTGACTGGATGCTGATCCCTGGAGTGTTCGCGTATATTTTCCGTGCTTGCGGCAGAGATGACGCCTTGCAATTTTTCCGCATCCTTATCTGCGTGTTCTGCTAAGACA